GGGAAGTTTTGTCATTTGCCCTTGAGGAGCCTAAATGCTGTGTAGGAAGAAATTCTGACTTCAGTGGTGATTTTAGCATTTCCATAGACGCACTGAAGCGTCCTCCTTATCTGCTGGAAATGGCCTATCTATTCCTGTCCCCTAAAGTTACTATCTTAATTTTTAAACTCTTTAGTTAAAATAAATAATTTTCTGGGAAAATTTATAAAACCTGACACCAAAAGAAAGAGAAAATGTAGACAAATCAATGATTGGCATAGAAGAAATAGAAAAATATTTTAGTTATTCTTCAAAAAGTAACAGGAAGAGCAGTTCCCAGAAGAATTTTACTAATCTCTAAGAAATGGATTATTCCAATGATATTTAAACTATTGCAAGACCAAAGAAACAAAGAATGTTTCCTAATTCTATTTATGAAACAAACCTTAATAGTAATATTCAAACCCAAGAAATACTGAGTCTAAAATGAAACCATCAAGCAATCTTATTTATGTATATTCATGTAAAAATCCCAAACAAAATATTAGCAAAAGCATCCAGTAGCACGGTTTTAAAATAGTATGTACATATACACATACACATATATACTTGTACCCCTACCGTGATCAAATGGGGCTCATCCCAGGAATACGAGGACAGTTTAGCATTAGGAAATCTTTAATGTCACTCATATTTATAGATCTAAGGGGAAAATGGTTTGATTATCTCTATAGATGCTAAAAATGCATTTGACAAGATAGAATGTTCATTCTTCATTAAAACTTCCAATAAAAATAAGATAAATATATACTTTCTTAACATGATAGAATACATTTGTTTCAAACAAACAAAAAGCCCAGATATATGCTTAGAAAAGAAACACTAAAAGCAAGCCTAGCTAAAGCCAGAAATTTCCAAGGATGTCCACTATTGCCACTTTATCTATCACTCTATTGGAAGTACAAGTCAACACAATCAGCTAAGAGACTAATAAAAAGTTTCAAAATTTAAAAGAATAGGTAAATGATCACTTATTTTGCAGATGATATAATTATATATGTGGAAAATCTAAGATAATTCCATAAAAAAATCTTTAAAAGATTCAGCAAGGGACAGGGTACACATTAATATTAAAAAATCAATAGGATTCACATATTTAAACAATAACCAGTTAGAAGATACACCGCATTTAAAACAACTACAAAAAGATAAAGTAACTAGGAATCAATTTAGTAAGAAATGCACAGGATTTTTCCAAAGAAACTTCAAAAGAATGTTCCTGCAGGACATAAAAGTGACTTGTGCACAAGGAAAGCTATGCCATGTTCTTGAATAAGAAGGTGAGTACATAAAAATGTCAATTCTTCCTCAAATATTAATAAATATAATATTTTCGAAATAAACAAGTACATATAAGTATTCCTATAAAAATAAACTGTCAATAATAGACAGGAAAAAATTGAAATAGAAGAATAAAGAGAAGTAGTCATTTCAGCATGGTTTTGGTACATGACTAGATAAACATATCAAATGAAAAACAAGAAAGTTCAGGACTTTAGTAAGTGATCAAAGTGGCATATTAAATCAGTAGGAAAATGAAGGATTACTTAATGAATGATGTTGGGATAACTGAATAATCATTTAAGATAGAAAGTTAACTTAATCCAGATCTTGCAGTAACGTTAAATTTCAAACGGCTCAATGATTTTAAAAATTTATTATCTTTTATGTTTTATTTTTAATTTACTTTTTATTCTTAAATATTATAGGTACATAATAGTTGTATATCCTTACAAGTTACATGTGATGTTTTGATATGGGCATACAATGTGAATTAATCAAATCAGGGTAATTGGGGTATCCATCACCTCAGGCATTTGTCATTTGATTTTAATGGAAACATGAAACCAGAAAAGTAATGGAAGAAACAACAGTAGAATTCATTTATAACTGCCAAATTGACCTTTCTAATCATGACACAAAACTCAGATAAGAGTCTGATAAATTTGACTATGTGAAAAAGTATACACACCAAAGCCCATCACAAGCTAAGTGATAAACAACAAGCAACCAATGGGGAAAATTATTTGCAGCTCATCAAAAATAAGTAGATAAATCTCTATCATATACAGAGCTTCTATTATAATAATTGATGACGAAAAGACCACAGGAGACAAATAGGTAAAGGGTGAGAATGGACTGCTTACAGAAAAGGAAAACAAATGGCTTTTAAATATATGAAAGATTGCTCAGTCTCACTCAGAATAAATTCTTTCAAAAACAAATTTTTTTGTGCCTACAATGTGCCAATAATATTGGCCTTCTGGGTACAGAAGACACAGCAGTGAACCAAAGAGAGCAACCAAAGATCTTTGTCCTTGTGGAGCTTACATTCTGGTGCAAATGCAAATTAAAGCTATACTGAAATGCCATTTAATTAATTTTTTGAAATGTAATTTTTTAGTGGACAAGATTGGCAATATCCAGAAGTTTGACTAACATTCTCTGGCAGAGCACAATAGCTACTCACATAATTTATGCATCGGAAGGTCAATCTGTACGACGTCTGTGACAAGTCATTTCTCAATAACTATCAAAGCTACAAACGGACAAGCCCTTTGAGCCAGCAAACCTATTTCTAGGAACTTATCTTATAGACATGCAAGAGAGAAATGACATATGTACAACGTTTACTGCTAGAGTGTTTGCAATATTAAAAGATTAGACACATTCTAAATAGGAGGCTGTGTAACCACTCTGGTACGAGCGTCAGCTACAGTCGGCAGCCACAGATGAACTGAGCGGCGACTGTGGCCGGCAGCCGTGATATGACTTTCCTAATTTTTCATTTATCAAAATTGTGAACATTTAAAAATAATGTAATGAAAACATATATGTATATGTTACCTATTCTGATTTACATGACAAGTAAAGCTGCCTGTGAAGTAAAACAAGCTTCAGTGCTTTCCCGCTTCCCCACCACCCGAGAGCAAGACGGACCGTGGCGCATGCGCGCGCAGAGCGCTGCGGGCTGGGCGCGGCTGTGGGCCAGGCTTCCCGGCCGGTGAGCGCCGTGCCCAAGTGGTTAAATGCTCGATGACACATCTGTGCAATGAAATACCAGGGAGTTGTAAAAAGGAATGAAAAGGTGCTTATGTGGAAAGATCTCTAAGAGATATTAGTAAGTGTTTATATGCATATGATATGCTACCAATTATGTAAAAAAGGATCAAAATAACACACATATAAGCATAAGTTATATATACAGTATATAGATTAATATTATATATGCATATACAGTGTATATACATAGCATATATATAGACATATACACCGATTTAAAAAAACTAATAACCTGCTTGCCTTTGACAGAGGAAGATTAAATCCGCCAAATAAAGTTTTTGTTATTAAAAGAAATTTCCTAATTACCATGTTTCCCCCAAAATAAGACAGGGTCTTATATTTATTTTTCCTCAGGAAGACACCCTAGGGCTTATTTTCAGGGGATGTGTTATTTCTTTTTAAGCACGGTACAACAATCTACATTTATTCAAATGTAGTTAAGTCGTCTTCTTCTGGAACATCATCATAACTCCCCAAACCCCGAATTCCATCCTGAATTTCTTGCGACTCTATTTCCTTTAGAACCATTGGCCCCAATCTCTCATGTGGAGCAACAGAGCTCTCACGGGGCAGATGAGAAGGGCTGCTCGTCTTCTTTACCGCTTCGCGACTAAATGCACGGGTTGTGCAGACACACTGCGTAGCCACACCCGTCACTAGGCCTTATTTTCGGGGAGGGCTTATATTGTGCAAATGCTTAGAAATCCTGCTAGGGCTTATTTTATGGGTAGGTCTTATTTTCGGGGAAACACAGTAAAAGAAAAATTTCTGAGAGAAGGTTCCTTAGTATTTCTATTTGGGTAACCTGTACCAGTGTTTGATCATCTTCATGGAGAAGCAGCATTTTATTTTTGAATACATTTAAGTACATCACCCACACTCCCCTCCTTTTTTTTGAGACAGAGTCTCACTCTGTTGTCCGGGCTAGAGTGCAGTGGTGTCATCATAGCTCACTGCAACCTCCAACTCCTGGGCTCAAGTGATCCTCCTGCCTCAGCCTCCCAAGTAGCTGGAACTACAGGTGCTTGCCACCATGCCTGGCTATTTTTCTATTTTTTGTAGAGATAGTGTCCCACTCTTGCTTAGGCTGGTCTTCAATTCCTGGCCTGAAGCAATCCCCCTGCCTCGGCCTCCCAGAGTGCTAGGCATGAGCCACTGCGCCCGGCCTTAATTCCTCCTTTCTGATTTCTCTTCTTAAAACTTCTCTTTAAATTGTAGGTCATTTCATTTCCACACATGTTCAGGACTTTGTACCTAAAGCAGAAATGTCTATGAAAGAAAAACTACATACAATATAAAAATGAGAAAACCAAGACCCCAGATTTCAGGTGAATGAAAGAGTTGCTATAATGTAGAAAATAAAGTTTCATCTTCTACCTTGAAGTCAGCTGAAGATAATATTAGAAGAATTTTATAAAGCAACATAATCACAGGGTAGGAAAACAGATGATAATTCATCTAATATGTAAGTTTGCTTCTTGGTAAAATTGTCCCTGAAATCAAGGATGTTATTAATGTTCTACTTAGGGACATATTTCAACAAAATGTGATAGAACAAAATGTTTGCAGTCAATTTCCAAACTGAGATTCTTTTCTTGCTACTTGACATTGTACTTGAAATTTTTTCCCTATGCTGCTCCTCCTTAATTATGCTTTAGGTTTTATGCCCAGGAAATGGGATGAGCAGTTGAGGGAAAGAATGAAGGGAAAGAAACAGTTGAGAGAAATAGGTTTAAAAGTGTCAGAGTTGCAGCCAGTTGAGCAGTAGAAACAGCCCCACTCCTTCTAGATGTGGGCCAAGCTTTTCCTACTACACTTAGTACATTAGAATATAGCAAGCCTCTTTTTGCATTGCTATTAACTAAACACAGACTAAAACAATTCTTCTTCTTAAACAGTAGAGACCACACAGAGGCTGCCTTTGGCTCATGTCAAGGAAAAGCTACCCCCATTACCAGAACTATAAGTCGCTTCCACAGTGCACCAGCGAGATCAATACACACGGTGAGTGACGCTTGGGCCTTATTGACTATTTGACTTTACTCGCTACAAATAGAAGTGGGTTCAAGGAGACACAGTTTACCTCAAACTACATTTCTATCTGTGGGTAAGAGGTAGAAAGTGATAATTTGCAAAGTCCATTCATTGAATTAAATGACATGAAATAAAATCACTATTTTATCCAAGATCTAGGAAGGATTAAGTGAATATCTCAATTCATTAAATAACTAATCTCTTAGTCTGTTACACTGGACCTGAGATGTCAGCATATCACTTGGCACTGTTTTTCCTGGAGTTGAGTCATCATTTAGTCAGAGCATGAGAAAAGCGAGAATGAGATGTATAAAGTAGAAATACCTCCCCCGTTACTGAAATAAGAAACTCCAAATCTAACATTGATTTCAACATATTTGAGTCTAAAACTGTGGTCAGAGGGTCTTTGACAGTTTTTCACTCATTCGACAAATATTTATTAAGCAGATATTATGTTATAGGTATTATGAAGAGCCACCGTAGGGAGTATAAAATATATAACAGGGAAGAGAAGGGAAACTAGCATTTATTAGTACCCTCTTACTGTGCTTGGCGGTGACTGGCTATATCATTTACTCTTCATGATAACTTGGGTGGTTATCAGTCAAAGTCCTATCAGGAGACCGATGTGGTACTCAAATCGAATAATTTGAGGATAGTTTAATGAAAGGTGTATTGAGACAGGGTGTGGGAAAGCTGAAAGGGAGAGTGTAGCACTCTAGGACTAGCCATGTGGGACTGTGCTGCTGTTCTTAAGACTAGAGGGGCAAGGCACCCAGGGGACACAGACAAAGACAGGCAGACACACAGAATGACTATGCAGGGAGGGTTGTCTGACAGGAGCTATGGTCTCGGGCCAAGGGATACTACAGCCTGTGTTCGCCATGAAGAGAGAGGATGAATATCCCCACTACGCGGGCACTAGTGTATGTGCTGCTGCTCCCCACTGGCCAAGCCCGGCCAGAGCCAGAGGGCACTAGAGCCTCACGGAGGCAGGCGTGCAGGCTGGCCTCGCAGGCACCACGCAGGTGAGGCGAGCGGAGAGCCCGTCAGAAGAGACAACCGAGGGATCCAGCAGAGGTCAATAGGCCAAGGGTACATTTGTGCTCAGAACTAAAGTGAGGTAAGTCTTAGTGTGTGGGTCTCAGTGAAACCAGGCTCTACTGTTGGCTCAGAGATCCCTAGGTAGACTTATACTGTAGTCACACGGTTGTGTCAATGAAATATCCCTGGATATTATGCTTGATGGCTCTCATTCTGGTTTTCATTCTTGGATTGCTCAACTTTGCATTTGAAGAGCTCCCCTTTGTTCATTCTCCAAATGATTTTTGAGTACCTATGTGTGTCAAGAGTTCTGTTCATTGGCAAAAAGAACAACACAGTCAGTGGAGGAATCAGATTAGGGAACACCTAACTGTAACAAAAAGTGTCAAGTAACATGGCAGAGGAATTGACAGAGGACTAGGAGAGTGTATCAGAGACCCTCCTTCACTGGGAATGATGCCTCACGTCCACCAGGTGTTCAGTAAGTATCTGTTGAATGAATGAATAAATCACAATTTCTGTGTCTCTCCACTAGAATCATGAAATGTTATATCAGAAAGAAACCTGCATGAACACTTACACTTTACTTTAATAGATGCAGAAAACAAGCTGAACATACTATAGTAGTAGAGGCTGGAGGAAATGCTAGGTTTCCTACATGCTGGGCTGAAAAGTTTATAATTACAAAGCATACACTGTCTTACTGTCTTCTTAGGGAGTTTTTCCACCATGTAACAGGATCAGAAAGTACCCCGCATCAGTAACTTGAAGTTTTTTGGTGTTCTTATAATAGACAGTTTTAATAAATAGTTTTAAAATTGTTCTCTACCAATTCTAATTCAGGTAACACTTAACAAAACTTTTGTGTGAATAATATTTGCTTGCTTTTTTTTTTTTTACATCTTCAGACTATCCCTTGGAAAATTTGGACTGAAGCCTTTAGAAGAATACTCATAATTTATTTCGGGAATGACCAGACTGGTAAATGTTTAGATGCACCATAGGAAAGCAGTAGAAATGCTACTGATTAATGAAAACTAGCTCAAGAGCATTCATTTGACCCGTGAGATCAAGGGAATATGAGCTTTTTCAAAAACTCCCTTATGAGTCATGGAAAACAAGCTGATGAAATTCATGGAAACAGCAAGAGAATGCATACTCTCTTTTTTTTTTTCATCTACCATTTTACAGCTTAGAATGGACCTAAGATTTAGTTTTGAGGAAACAAAAAGAGGATCAAAAGGATGAAAATCTTTTCTCTCATCGGGCCACATTGCAGATGCTGATTTGATGGTTTTTCCTATACAGATGGATTGTTTCTATTAATATTTAGCAAATGATTTAGAAGAGCCTGGGTTGTTTGTTTACACATTCATTTGTATTTATAAATATTGCCTTCTTTTGCACCAGGATGGTTTTTAAAAAATACAAAGACACCAAAATACAATGAATTTAAACGAAATATTTGAGTATTTAAACCTAATAGCAAAAGATCTCCTCTGATTCTTTTGGCTTTCCTATTTGTTACAGCCATCATTGATGTTAAGGATAATTATAGCTATTACTATAATAAAAAGCACATTGGACAAGAGGGAAGCTCTTAACATTGAAAAATATGAAAATACTTTCCTAGAGTTAAGGTGGAACTTAATCTCCTGGTGTCATTATATGGCTAAAATTGCTTATCTGCGTAGATTTACAGAATTCAGCTGTAGGGTCAGATTTAACATTAAGTGATGGGGTTCAGTACATGCTACCCCATAATGTGGCACCTTGTCATAGTGAATATTGTAAGCTGAAGGAATTTGAGAAAATGGAAGAAGCAGGAAGGTCACTCTGACCTTCCTCTGCTACTCTTCTCTGAAGAAGATAATAAAACCTTTCCTGACCTTCCTCTCATACAGATCATGTGAAAGGTGTCCTCCCTATACTCAGAGGAAAAGAGCTTCCTTACCTCTGAAGACTGGACACAGAGAAGGATCTGAACAAACCGGCCTTGCTAAGTTCCCCCAGGGTATTACTATTAGATCAAACTCTTTTTGCACAATCATAGATCTCTATAACTCTTCATTCTTCATCAAACCCACAATAAAAAATACTCAGGTCTAACTGTTTCTTTGGCTCTTCATTTCCTTGTGAGGAGTCACATAAAACGTATTTAACTAAATTAGTATATCTTTGCTTGTTAATCTTGTATTACAGAGGCCTCAGCTATGAACTTAGAAGGAAAAGATATTTTTCCACTCTATGTAAGTAACCTACCATGAATGAATGTTCCAGTACACAGAGGTTTTTCTGGTACTCTGTTGTTGTTGTTTTTTTTTTTTTTTCCTTCTAGATCACAAACTGATTGTAATTCTAATTGTATTCTAATTGTAAAATTTAGGGACTAATGATTTGGCAAGTGGAATTCTACCAGTCTCACTTTTTCTTGTCTGTGTATTCTAATTAATACCGCAGGTGAGTCGAGCTTGGGTCTGGGGTTTTCAGCAGGAGTGCAGTCCATGTGGTATGAATCTTATGCAGTTTCTGCAAAGCCCAATTACTGTTTCCCTGCACATACCTGTTGTGTTCTGACAAACGACTTGGAAATCAATGGGAACTTGGCTTACGAAAGGCATAAATTAAGCTTCAAGTTCTGTAAAATTGTGGCAGCTCTCAGGAATTTCACTTATTTATTAAAATAATAGACTTCAACAGATATTGGGAAGCGCACAAAGATGTGGATGGCCTACGCTCTGCCCACAAAGGCCGCACGATCTGGTAGAGGGGACAGCATGTGCATACCACTGGTGAAGATTCTAGACACACTAGGGTGGGAGAAGCGTCGTTTACAGGATGCACACTTCCTGCTGAGCATTTACGGGCGCCCAGGATCACTCACAGCTGTGGAGAATTAGGGGAGGCTTTTGGAGAAGGTGGCTTTTGAGCAGGGTCTTAAAGACGGCGTCTCCTGGTCTCTCAGAGTATCCAACCTCCCAAGTGTACATGCTCTTAGCCCTCATAGCCCTTTTCGTATCTGTCATTTACAATTATTTTCCTGGCTATTAATTAACCTCTGTCTCCCTCTCTAGTCTGGAAGCTGCATGAGGGCAGGGGACGTGTCTGGTTCTGCTCACCACAGTGTCCCTGGCAGCTAGTAGGTGTTTGGCTCACAGTAGTTTCTTCATAGATGCTTTCTGGGTGAAGAACTATTTTTGAGCCCCCTTATACATCTGGCATGAGCCACGTGTATTCTCATTTCTTCCTCACAATGACGCCTCGAGAAAGGTGTCATTCTCCTTGAAGAAGCTGAGGCCAAAGGAAGCCTGCAAATCCTATTGATTGATGGGGTCCAGCCCCCAGTTGGTAGGGCTGCAAAGCTTGTGCCGCTCCTACTGCCTCCACTGTGGGGTAGAGAAGGGCAGGGCGAGGGGAGCAGAATGGATGGCGGGTGCCGAGGGAAGGGGCTGCCGCCTAGAGCACCGGCAGGGCTCTCTCCTGGGAGTGCAAGGAAGCGGGGTCACTTGTGCCCTAGAAGAAGATTACTGGCTGGAATTGCTGCATGGTCTCTGTTTCTGCATGTCTTGCTTAGCCTGACATTCTGCCCCTCCCCTCCCAACTGACCCTAATAAAACCAACCGTGGGCCTTGGTGTCTGGCATGATGCATGGCTTCCAACCAACACCATGGAACCTGGCTTTTAGTGCACGCTGCTTTTCAGCTGGTCCCACATCTGACCTTGACCCACCCTGCCCCCGCTCCCTGTGACTTATAGCTTAGTGCTATGTCTATGGCTCTCTCTGCAGGCTTTTCTCCCCACTTGAGACCCATACTCGCCTCCTTGACCTCTGTGTCCTGCTGAGCAGCCAGGACCCTGCCCTGTATTCAAAGAATCCAGGTCTAGATTACAGAGGGGATAGAGGAAGCATGGCAGCATGCCCGGAGTGGGTGGGCACTGGCATTGGAGTGGTGGAGAGAGGGATGGCTAGAGGACAGGCTCCAGGGAGAGGGCTGGTGGTGCTTCCTGAATGACCTGATGCAGGGGTGGGAGTGAGGTGTGCAGTGAAGGGAGGAGAGAAGGGACTCAGATGGCAACCCTCCAGGCTTCCGCATGCAGAAAAGAACATTGCCCAAGCTTACAGCTACTAGCTTTGGTTCCTGGAAGAATTTTCCTTTCCCAGGAGATTCCTTCCCAAATTTGTACTTTCATCCTATCCTTAAGTTCTTATCTTTCCTCTCCCGTACTTAGTCATCCCTGATGTAGCAGTCATGCAGACAACCTTCCCTTCCCTGCTGTTTTTCCACATTACATTTCTGTTTCCTACCCAGTTTAGAAATCTTTAACCCTCCAAGTGCAGGTAGGCCACCTTGTCCGTGCAGTTTCCCTGCTCACTCCAGTTGGAATAATGTCTGTTTTTTTCTGAGTTTTTCTTGGGTTCAGTCTACTTATCACAGTATTTCTGACCTCCTGCCTTGTGCCACAGCTAGTTATATTCATGTCTCTTTCCTGACCAGACTGTGGATGAGAATGGGAACCATATCTTCTCCAGCTTCTCACTCCCCAGTGACAGGTGTTGCTTCTCCTCACCTGCTGCCCTGCAACATTTGCCGTGGCTAGTGGAGTTCAGCAGGTGTTGGCTATGAATTCAGGATGGGGGTTACCTCTAAAAGGATGCAGTGGGAGATCTATACACCAGAACCTTCTAGCACAATTATACTTTTTTAAAAAAATAAACTTGGTAGTGGGTAAATGAGAGTTCTTTAGGTCATAATTCTAAATAGCTTGCACATATTTTAAAATATACTTTGTACCTACTCAATATTTTATAAAATCAAATTTAAAAATAGACAAAATATTGTATTGAATTGCATCCTTTCTTCTTGCCTCTCTCTGTTGGTAGATAGCTTCTGTCTGTCTGTCTCTCTCCCAACTACATTCCTTTCCTTTCTTGTAAGACATGGTAGAACAAAGACTTGAACTCAACTTTTCGACACGAAAATTGTCTATTTTACTTCTCTTTTCTTCTTTATCTGTCTACATATTTCTTAACTATCTCCAAATGTTTGTGTTATTCTGATGGGTAGTGATATTAGGATAATGAGTAGAAGGGAGTTCTTACATTTTAAAAATCTAAATAAGACATAGTATCAGATTAACCTATAAGCATGACAACTAAAAAATACATTTAAAAAATCCTCTGCAGAGAGAAAAAAATGGCAGAGTAAAGGTAACCCCCTGGATCCCTGCTCCCAGAGAAAGAGGCGTAGACCTTGGTCTCCTACATGCGAGTGGATCTCCCTCCCACAAGAACAGCATTGTGAATCGGCAGAGGTTCAGCCCTCGCTGACTCTCAAAAATGGAAAAAACAAGGTGATTGGGAGATAAGATCCCGTTCTCCGGAAAGTGCAAAACAAACAATAGGACATAGAGCAAGTGAGGGCACCAGCCCGCTGGGCCAGGGGGTGAAGTGGGATCAGACCCACGGGAGGACTTCTTGCTTCCCCACTGACCTCAACGCCCACCCAGCCAGGGACCTGTCTGAAGCTGGTGCAAAATCGCGGAAGAAGAGGGTGCTGTAGAGAGCAGTCATTAGTAGAAAGCACTGTGAACTCCCCCGAGGCCTGTGCTAGGACGGCACCAAGAGGGGAGGACACTGGACTGAGCTGACAGGGGAGGCAGTTAGATATCTTGCCTCTGGTAACGAGTGGGGCCAGCCCTATAGAACTGTTCACTAAGTCGGGGACTCTAAGCTGGAACTGCCTCCGGCGAATAAGCCCATCCAGGGTGAGTCAGTAAGAGTGAGAACCATGGCTGAACAGGCGTGAGTCAGAGGGGAGGCAGCATAGAGGAGGCCACGGGGCGTCCTGATGACCCAGACCCCAAACCCGGCACCTTCCATCTCCTAAACAGTCGCTCCCAGTGCTGGTACCCTTGGAGTGGGCAAGTGGTCGCCATTGAGGGGGTCCACAGCCCCGTCACTGTGGTGTGATATGGTGCGGTGGGCAGACCCCCTCCCCCAGCCTAGAGACTCTCCTGACAAATTCCTCTATTACACAATAATACAGCCTGTGATAGGCTGGCCAGGAATGGCTTAACCAAAGAGCTACTGAGAAGACTAATGCCAAAGGGGAGTTATAGCCACTGGGGCACCGGGGTGCAGGGCAGACTGGGGAGCTACCTCCTCCCCCTAGCCAGCATCTCTCCTGCCAAAAGTGGTAGGCCCCACCTCTGGAGGCCGGGTGAGACAAGAAAAGCCACTTTTCCGTGATCTAGGGAGAATCCACTGGGACTGCACAGATCGAAAGTGGGCAGCCAAAGGACTTTACTTCCCAGAACAGTATAGGTCACCCAGTCGATCAAAACGCTGGGGCTGGGTCTCCTCCCCCAGTCAATGGCCAACAGTCAGGGCCATGGTCAAGGAACAAATCCCCTGAAAGTGGCCACAATGGGCTCCACAAGTAACCCCTCCCATCAGGGGTAGCCTTCCAAGTGTGGTGGAAGAGCTCCCCGCAGTGGCAGATCAAGAAATTACAGAAGAGAGGACCCCTGGGCACCATAGGAAATAACAACAGCTGATCCAGACGGGGAGGGCTCAGTGAAAGAATTTTGGAACTATGAAGAATCTAACCAAAAACACTCCCCCAAAGAGATATACCAGCTCTCAAGAAATGGATACTAACCAATCCCCAAACACTAAAATGACAGAAGAAGAATTCCAAAATTGGGTTGTAAGAAAGTTCAATGATACACAAGAAAAAATGGATAACCAAACACAAAGAAACCACAAAGAAAATTCAGGACTTGGAACAAAAATTCACTAAGGAAATTGAGATCTTGAAGAAAAATCAATCCGATCTCCTGGAAATGAAAAATTTATTCAGGGAAATGCAAAACACGGTGGAAAGCCTCAAAAATAGGGTGGGCCAAACATAAGAAAGAATCTCAGAGATTGAAGATAACACCTTCAAATCAAATAAGTTAATCACAGAGATAGAGCAGAAAAATAGGAGACATGAGCAAAGCTTACAAGAATTGTGGGATTATATGAAGAAAAATAACTTGTGGCTCCTCTGGATTCCAGAGAAGGAAGAAGAAAACATGCAAGGATTGGATAAGCTATTTGAAGA